AATGGCTTTCACCGCTTCTCAATGTACCGATTTGAAGAAACTTATGGCCATTTGAATGTTCAAAACTCGCGTTACAGGAGAATGGCCTGAAAAAGACGTAGAGGGAAAAAACGGGACAACGGGACTGCTTTTTGAAAAAGTGGTCTTTCAAAAAATATTTTGGTATAATTTCGAAAGCCCTCATATAGTTTCTAAATAGCCTTAGATCTGCAAAAAGTTGAGTATGAAGAAAGTTATGTACGTTTGAATGTCGAAAACTCGCGCCTTCTCAAAAATCGGACCCCAAACCGCTGAAGAAGCGGAACAACGGAGACTATTTTTGAAGGAATGATTTCTGAAGGAAGTAACCCATTTTATAGGCACGTAAATGGAAAAAATATAGCTTTTTGGATAACGGGTTCGCAATTCAACTGATGTACTTCAACGGTCCAATTTTTCACTTTGTAAAAAAAAGAAAATTTGATGTTTTGGAGAAAATTTGGTAGTCCGAATGTAGAGTTATTTTGTGATTACAAACGTACCTAAGTTCATGTGGGAATGTTAGAATCCTATATTTAACGAGCGAAACTTCATGTTGCCCCAATTCCCCACCTCTATATACTCTTTTATGTCGATGACGGCCCATACATCAATGGTGGGCGTAAAATTAAAAATTATGTCATAAATAGGTTATACAAGGTTGCCGTACTGATACCCACTAAAAAAGGGGAGGGGTCAAAACTCTTGAATTCAGAGCAACGCACGGTTGACCACGCGTGCAGGTAGACTACAGTACCGACTCCGATTTCTCTAAAGCCGAAGTTTTGTGACAGATTAGTCCGTCCCAAATTGTCGATTGACATAACTTTCGCTACAGCGCTCGAATTGAGTTGGAATCCGATGAATAGCTCGACTCATAATCACTGATTATTGCAATTAATACAACATCTATTTTCATCCCATTATTTACCATCCCGAGCATCTAATCCTGAAGCAACCCCGTCAAAGCCAATCAAGTTTTGCATAATGGTACGCGACTAGCTTGGAAGGGTCAAAACACCAAGTTGTTCATCCTGGCTGCAGCAAGTCACTGTATAGGCCAAATCACGTGACAAACCACCAATACTCTGGATCAGGGTGAAGATCGTGTCGAAGACGTGGTCGCAGAAGTACGACTCCCCCTGAAATCGAGGTCTTGCCCCCTAAAACAGAGCATACGCAAAATCACAACAGCCGAGTGTATCGATCAACGGCCGATTCAACGGCAGCTGCGGCGCGATTTGTCCCTGGGTCAGATTTGCTGAAATCCCGAAAAAAAAACCGTCGAAATCTACACCCTCGATGAAAAGGTTGCATTCCTCCATTTCCCAACCTTTTGAACAGCACGCGGTACGGTTAGATAGAGCTAGAGCTACGACCCCCATGACTCAGCCCAACAAGTACGACCCCTTGTCGAGGATTTCCTCGACTGATATTCACCCTGCTCTGGATGGGAGTGGGATGCGCGGCGCATCCCAAAATGGATTAATCAACGCCGATATTAACGTTTCCTCCTTTTATTTGTTATTTTTATGAAAATCGAGGATTCAACCTTCAAGTACTCGAGGCGATACCTACGGGCATTGCGGCGCCGTGAATTCCCCCTTGATTAGGAACCTAATCTCTAGGATTTAGATGAAATTGATTTTAATCAAATCAATTAATTGAGCCCCTCGGAATCTACAGTTATAAATATCACCTTCCTCGAAGAGATCAATCTGGTATCATTTTGATACCTTGATATCTCTACCAATAAGGTTGCACCAAATTTCGACTTGTAACTGAGCCTCTATTGATCCTTTTTCGGAGCGAAGTCTTTTTGTAGCTGCATTTCTCACGAAGAACTAAATTTCAGAACGATTGGTGCTGATCAATCCCTTTTTTGAAAGTGTCATGCATGAAAGGCCTCGATACGACCCCTCCCCCTTCCCTTCAGGGTCAATCCTTCACCACGCTCGCCTGCCATCGCCATCATGGGATCATTTTACAGTATCTGATTCTGAGATCAGTCGACACAGCCCAAACTCCGCCCACTTCTTTTCACCAAAATTAC